TATTATATGTGTTAATTATCAGTACTCCTGTTTATATTCGTTCAGTCTTTTATTCACAAAAATAGCCTCACTTAAACACTAAGTTGTGAAGTATTACAGGAAATAAAGATCTCTGTGTATCGCATGTTTTAACGCAGGCAGTGGCGTAAATAGGTTGGGTGACACCTGTTGCGGTAACTTTTGGTGTCACCCATCCATTAACGTACCAGAACTAGAGCAAATCTGAAGTCAAAACCCGCCCTTGATGGTGTCACCCTGTGCCTAATGATAAATATAACTTTAATACGTTTTAATAAAACAAATTAGATTTTATTACTAAAATTTGCTACTTTATATTTTAGCATCACCCATTTGGATGCTGTCAACACAACCCCCCCCCCCCCCCAAATCCTCCCACACTGAAGGAATGTACTTAACTTTTGCAACATCAACTCTATTGTACTAAATGTTTACACTTAAATATTTAATAAGCCATCCGTGTTGCTCAAAAATTAAACCATTTAGAATTATTCATGATATATCTCTCATCTACTGCGATATTTAAACGGCCTTACAAACGTGCATTCTGCGACACACTTCTGAGTGATTGTATATAAACACACCTGGTTAGATTAAAGGCATTAGATTGTGTATACATTTATCGACCTGCAGCTAACTTATAAAAACAATAGATCTTCACCGACATGAGTATCTGCATGCTGTTATCTATGTTGACCGCTCACTGGGTAAGTACTCATTTACATTACTGGGTTAGTTTTGATGAGATAATTATAAAAATAACAATAGCTTTTATAATCACTATAACAGTTTCGCTATTATGTATGTCTGTCTGGAACATCAGGAAATTATAATACTAATAGTTTCGCTGTCTGTGTATCTATATGTGTATCTATCTATCTGACAAGAACGCTCTAGAGAAAACACAAGCAAATTAAAAACTTTCATAGCAATACGGAAACGAAATATGACGTCACATTGGAGCATATAGTAGAAAATAATCTAAAGCCGTGTGAGAGTGCACACTGTAATATGACGTCATTGATTCTCCAGTAAACATTGAATTAAAAAGCCAATTTTGTCTAATCTTAAAAGTGGTTTGCAGGAAGAGTTTCTTTCATACAATTCTTCGGGTAGGGGCGAAGCCCATCCACCGCGTAAGAACGTCTAAGCCTACCCCCCTCCCCCCAACTCAAAAGAAATGTAGTCATCGATACTCTATAATAAAATTACAGCCTAATTCATGTGTCTAATCTAAAAAGTAGTTTGCGTGCAGTTTTTTTCATGCATCTCTTCCGGTAGGGGCGAAGCCCCGCCCCGTTTCTTCCTTTAGTATGTATGATCTACAAATGCGACCAGGGGGGCGGGGGTAGAATTTTCTGGGAGGGGGCGGACACTGGAAAAAGTATAAAAATTATATTTCGTTGAATGGGACGGTAGACATGTTTTGGGGTGTGTGTGTGGGGGGGGATTGGTTTTAGTTTAGAGAAAATAGACAGCACTATCAACCTAGCGCCCGTTCATCCTTCCTCAACGGGCCATTTTTCTCGTCATAATAATGGTTACGCTAGTCTGTCTGTCGATAACGCTCTAGAGAAAACACAAGGACATTTAAAACATGCAAAGTGAAAGACCGTGACGTCACATGGGACATGTAGGAAGTTTTCAAAACGAAAGGAACTATGTACAGTTATAAACGAAATACAATTTATATAGAAGATATGTACTTTTACCAGTATCAGCCTCCCTTTCCCCCTTAGAATTTCATCCGCCCCCCTTCCTCACTAAAAAATTCAAGTGACCCTCCCCCCTCCCCCGGGAGAAAAAAAACGTTTAAAATAATCACTATTTACATGATTGAGGTTAAGGGGCCAAAAGGAGGAAACGGCTTTAGATTATAGAAATAGGGTCTACCTTTAGTCTGTATGATCTACAAATGCGACCAGTGTTTCTTGCAGACTTTTTTCTCTCCGGAGGAGGATGGGGCACGTGCAATTTTCAGGGAGGAAGGGGGAGGGGAGTGGGTGTACTAAATTTTTCGGGTAGAATGTCGGACACAGGTAAAAGTATATTTTCTATAAAAGTTCTATTTTGTTATTGTGACATTCTTCGGGCGGCTCCAGCCACGCCCCCCCCCACCTCACTCCTCTCGGAAGAGTTACCTGAATTAAACTCAAAATGTGACTTTTGTCAAGTTTGAGCTTAGGTGCGACGTTAAGGGGTATGACTACGACTATATTTAGTATGAATAAGAAGTAACCGAGTAAATAAAAGATCCGGTTAAAATGTTCATTATGTTTGAAAATCCGTTTCCAATGCAATTTTTCGTTTCCGGTTAAATTTGAAGTTGAGGTGGTGATTTTAGTTTTGGTTTCATTTAAAGAAAAAGACAATACTATCAACATATCGACCGTTGTATTTCTCCCTCAGCAGGCTATTTATCTAGTATATGTATAAATATATTATTTAAAATTAAATTTTCATTTTAAATATAAATAAAGATAAGCTACTTTAGCACGCATTAGATACCAGCGTCAAGTATGTTCTCGTCTGTCTATTTTACAGGCTACAGCCATGCTAAAGCTGTTTTTATTGTTTGCGGTTGCCGTGTCATCAGAAGCGGCCAAACAATGCATTAATATCGTGCCTGGACTATCTAAAATTGCCGAAGGTGTGGACATAGCGCAGCTAGACTTGTTACCTCTAGAGTTTACCACCAACAATGGGATCCTGAGTCCGATATTTCCGTTGACCTGTGACCAAGGGAAACAGTGGAAGAGTCCGAAGGGAATTTTGTACGATATGCCTGATCAAGTACGACATAGGATTATATTTGAACATGACTTGTCGATATTTTAAAATTTAGTTGACGCTATGCAAGGGGTGGTCGAATAAATAAAGATGTGCATAATAGTACGCAATATTATTAGTACTTTATAAATTTACGTGCGTTTTTTTGAGAAATCGGATATAGCATAAATTAGTACTTCCTGTCAACGGAAATGTGAAATTTCATTTATCTATCTGAAATAGTACTCAAGTTATAGCCTTTGAAAAATTCAAAGTAGAAAAAGTACCACTTTCGGTTATCGGAAATCGCTCAAACGTTAATACGTACCTACGATTTTGAAAAAATACTTATATATGAAATTTCATCAACCTAGCTGTAACGGTACTCAAGTAATCGTGTTTACACACAGACATACAGACACACACACACAGACACACAGACATACGGACAAGATTGCAAAATTATGTTTTTCCGTATCAGTGAGGTGTAAAACGTCGAGATTTGTAAAAAATATCGATTTTTTTTTTTGCACGATTACATTACTTTCTCTATAGGCCTACTTCGTATATACGAGAAAGTAAAAACACAATAGGAGAAAACCTCATCAAACGCTGAATGTTGAAGATGGTGAAGTTAATTCTTACATGTCCGTAGATTTTAAATAACACATTTTTATTGAAATTAAGCTTTCACCATTGTTTGCTTTTCAAGTTGATAAATCAACAGACGTGAGTTCGTGTTCGCAGTTGCTGGTCTTTGTCTATATTTATTCAGATGATAGCAAAGAAGAGTTGCTCTTTTGTGAAGATAAATAAATACTTTTTTTTTAAAAATTGAATGCTTAAACTGGGTTAAAATGGCTGTGAGGGTTTGTACGGATGGTGCACCATCTATGTTTAGGTCCAAATCGGGCTTTCAGAAAGCAAAAAAGATTTAGCTCCCTAACCACTGCCCTCACCAATCGCCATCAAGACTCCATTGCTAGTATAAGTCGTAAATTATATAAAATCTAGAGCCTTCAAAGAACTGATCAAAGACCTGAATAAAGATCACGAGGTTCTGCTCTTCTACATCACAGTGCGCTGGCGGTCAAACGAATTGTTGTGAATCGTGTTTTTGAATTGAAATCTGAAAACAAATTTTTCTTCAAAATGCAAAGGAAACAAGACCTTTTGGTATACTTAAAACGACATAGAGTGGTTGGAGAGAGTATCATACCTAACAGATGTGTTCGAACATCAACATAAACATAACCTGAAACTTCAGGGAAAATGAACGAATATTATCACTTTCCATGATAATCTCGGGGCATTTTTATCAAAGCTTCAAAATCGGCGAAGAAAATAAATCTTGGAAATATTGTTACTTTGAGAAACTCTGCAGTGTGGTAGATGAATCTAATTGTGAGGTAATTAAAATTTTGAAAGAAGAAATTTCTGGGCATCTTGAATCTATTGAAAACGAACTGCAGCGCTATTTCTATGAGCTGAAAAAAAAGAATCTGCATTGACGCATTATCCATTCTCTTCTTCCCTTGATGTTGCCAGCATTCCCGAGAATTACAAGATGAATTCTTTGATTTGTAGAATGATTCCGCGTAAGATAAAAAAACTGCAGACACAATTTTGGTGTAGCATTCACCATTTATATCCAAACGTAAAATTGATTGATTTTTCGAGAATATATTTCGAACACTATTTTTCGATTAAAAACAAAATTAAGATAATGATAATGACATAGGTTGGCGTTAACAAAAAAAATACTTTAAAAAAAACGCGAATGTTTAGTAAATAGTATGCAATTTTACTCATGGTATTAAAACAGTTATCAAGAGTAGTTAATATTGAAAGTCTACTAGAAAATCTTATTTTAGTGCTTATTAATTTCCATACTAATTTCGGCTTTTTAATTCTATGGGGGTTGCGGGTCACTTTATTTTTATAAAAGGGGATCGCCACTCGAAAAAGTTTGGGAACCACTGTTCTAAATGGAGGGCTATAAAAGTATTCTAGTTATTATCAAATCATATTTTGCATCTTGTAATGTGTATTGCTAATTTTACATATAGAAAAATAAAATTATTGATTTCGAAAGGTATCCAACTAAGACTGCTAATTCAGGGATTTCCCGATCTCATTTAAATATATAATAACGTGTATTTTTAGCTCCTGACGAGTATAAATCAGCGTAACCAAGAGCTACCGCCTAGACAAGTGTCGACAGCCCAACTACAATAATTGTTGCCTACAGCTCTGGTAAGTTACTCTAATCTCTAATTTTAGTGTTGTTTTTATTTTTATCAGGGGTCGGCCAGCTCCGTCTTTGAATTCACTCTTCTACCTCTACATTTATTTTATTTTAATTAAGACATGTTTTTAAGATTTAGCCGTGTAAAATATAGACTAGTGAGATTGTATGTGCCGGAATATGTAACAGAACGAGTGTGATAATTTGAGAAATAGTATTTAAACAAGAGGTTCGTTAAACTAATGATTAAGTGAAATAATTTTTTTAATGATAAGTTTTACTAGTTGTTATTAAACCTTTGGTCAAATTATTTTTTAAAGACTCGCCAATTGATGAAGTCCTTTAACGGTTTATGTGCCTTTTTAAAAATATTACTCGAAATTTTAATAAAAGTTTATTAGTTTATTGTATATTCATTGAGGTCAATAATTATTTTTGATATATGATTATTGGCTTCTTGTGACGCTTCTTGTAACGATATGTTAGTCCAAAACGTTCGAATCTTTGTATAGAGGTATTATTTTCATGTTAAATAAGTCGATTGAAAGCATTGGTATCCAAACTGTAGGACGCAAAGCTTCACCCTAAAAGAAACTCTAAATGCGACTTTTGTCATGTTTGAGCTTAGGTGCAAGGTTTAGGGGTATGATTACGACTATATTTAGTATGGATGTGCAGTAAATCCGGTTAAAATGACAATTATGGATAAAAATTTGTTTATTGTTTCAGGTTAAATTTTAAGTTGAGGTGGAGATTTTGGTTTTGATTGCAGTTTAGAGAAAAAGACAACACTATCAACTTAGCGCCCGTTGTATTTCTCCCTCAACGTATTTAATATTATTATTAATTATTATGTTTAATTAATAGGCCTAATTATTACAATTAATAGACTACTCGTTATCCTTGGATAACTTAGTTTCGGAGGTCATCAATAAATGACAACACGTTTAATTGACAATTTTTATCTTTCCCTTCCCTTCTATTTCACCTGCCCTGTGTCCAGAGTTTCTTCCAGGCGAAAGAAAGGGAATTAATATAGAAAACATATACTATACTTTTAGCAGTGTCCTTCCCCCAGAAAAATGTTGTCCGCCCCGTCCGCCCCCCCCCCCCCCGAAAATATCGATTGCCCCCCCCCCTATTGGAAAGTATACAAGAGCAACGACAGTAAACTTTTATTATAAATGTCACATCTAATTACTTAAGTGTCAATATAGACAATTATCATGTTGTTTTTATATAAATTGCGTGTTTATAAAAACATTTTTTTAGCCTAATGGTTACACCCTGTTTTCTGTACATATAAATTCTAAAGCTTATATTTGTTTATTTTTAAAATAAAAACAATATCAGTTTTACAGAAAAACAAACAAACTTAGCCAATTGGTTTCACAAATAAGATAGAAACAAAGTGTTACATTTGAATGTACTAAAGTGTACTGAACGGTTTAGTTTTTAATTATAATTTAATGTGAGCTCTTTTTTTTCAAGTTCAAAATCAAAAGACGGTCACAGGTGTTATAATGAGTGATATTTTTATCCCAGGTAAATAAATATTTGTTTAACTCAATATTCTATCAAAGCAGTGATTTTAAATATGTATAACTGGGGCAGATGAGGCTCGTTAGCTGGGGACAGCCACTCTTCTAGGAGAGACAACTCCAAAATCAAACAACTGCTGCCTTGTAGTTTGTTCTTGGTTGGACAAAGGCTATGGAAGCAAATCCAAAAAGAAAAGCAGGCTGAAATCGTAGTCAATGGCCTCAATGGCACATAACCAGTTGACACGTAATCCTTAATTGTGATGGAAGCATGGTCGAGTCGGCAAAGTTCATGGTTGATAAATTCGAAAAAAGTCTCGAGTTCAAACCCTCTGGCAGATAAGGCTCGATCCCTTCCAACACTAAAAATTAAGAACGAAGAAGAAGGAGAAATGGGTATAAGAGTAAAATCTTCACATTTAAGGGAAACTTTTATTATATTACTTTATTCACTTTAATACATCATTTAAGAATGTTTAAATATTTTAAAAAAATTTTTGTGTCTGTAGGAAATCATGAAGCTGAGATGTGCTATGGAGGAGAAGCTGATCTACACAAACATGTTACTGGCTGTAAGAAGAATCCAGGTCACAAAGGTTTTATACCCCTTAAAGATTTCAACAGATACTGTCTCCCCTCACGTTTCCATGATGACGAACTCATGTCTGAGACAATCAAAACATTGGCAGCCCTAACTGTCCAGGTAAAGACTAAATTCACCAGTCTTAGAAGACCAGAGTTTTACCCAGGCACTCAAGTTCCATATCCATGTTATAATGACAGAGGATGTCACGTGATGAGGTTAGGGACGGGGAGGGTGAGCAATGTGCGCTATTTCACAGATAGTGACATATGGGGAACTTGTGGTTGTGCCAAGTGTCAAGTCTCTGCCACACCCAGCAAAGTGTGGGGGATGGTTGATGTGTTGACAGCCACACATGTGGTGTTTGATGAAAGTGAGTCGAGACAGACCAGGTGTGTTTTAGGTTTTGATGACAATAAAAGTCCAGGGGTCAGTCTTGATGGCTGGGAGGGTGGCGGAGGCATTGAGAACGACAGGTGTGAAATGTTTTATGTGACTTGTGACTTAGAGTTGGTTTATAAACTGTTCAAGATGTGTCGTTACTTGACTGGTCTATGTGAGGAAGTATGGGACAAATACGGAGAATTTGATAATGTGGACAATTCGTCTTTTATAGTGTCACATCCTCATGGCTGTCCTAAACAGGTCTCTGTAGGACAATGGACACACAGTCTTGAGAGGGATGAATATGATGAAGGTTTTGAGGCTTATACCACCAACACCAGGTACTGGTACACAACATGTACATGTCCAGGCTCCAGTGGAGCGCCTGTGTACATGCTGGGATATGACGGGTGGTGGTATAGCTATCCCCACAGTGGATCAAACTCTAAAGGAAATTATAGTGGGGAGTGTTTGACCGATGTTGTTAGTACTCTTAACTCTAAACAACGTAAACAAAAAATGGCTAAACTTTTCGCTTCATTTAACAATTAGTGTCGTATCTTACGTGTCTTATCAAGACGTATATGAATAATTTAATTAAATGTTTTTCTTTGCAAAACTGTTGCATCATTGCTATTTTCATCTTTCTTTTCAACTGATTTAGATTGATTAAATTGTATTGCTGTTGTAACCATATGAGCTAGTCTCACACTACAATATGTAATACGTAGGCCTACTGCTAATGCGTCCTATAAATAATTTTGTTTTTATAAGAATCATAATTTGTCTATAAATTATAACTGACGAATGTTTCTACATTTCTTTACAAAACTATTGTATAAATATAATACATTATTTTGATAAACAAAATCTTACCTTGTTCATTTATTGCAACATTACCCGACATGTTTAAAAGTGATCATAATTTTGTTAACAATTGATGTTGGTTTTGTTACTTGTGTTAATGGTTGTATCAAGCTGCTAGAGATTTTAAAATAATTTGGCGCTTCATAAAGCCATCATTATACACCTAAAGAAAAGCGGGTATTATAAAAAGTCATTTCAAATGTTTATTTAAGGGATAAAACTAAGATGTTCGATGTTTTGTTCTTTGTAGACGGTCGCTAAAGCAGCGTGAGCTTTACAATAACAAGTTGTGTACTTGACTAGAGTTGGGAAATGTAAAGATAGATCTAGGTGTGTATAGATATAGTACTGGTTGTAATATGTTAGAAACCAATGTCATCTTTGACGGTCAAGTCTGAAAAGGAATGTCAAAGGACAAGACTGAGAACGACTGGTGTGAGTTGATTTATGTGACTTGTGACTTAGAGTTGGTTGATGTACTGGGCAAGATGTGTCGTTACTTGACTGTTCTGTGTTAGGAAGTGTGGGACAAATACGGAGGATTTGATGATGTGGACAATTTGTCCGTTATATTGTCACATCATCATGGCTGTCCTAAACAGGTCTCTGTAGGACAATGGACAGACAGTTATGAGAGGGATGAATATTGTAACAGTCAAATGTTGGGTGAATGTATGTTTCGAATGGAGATGTAAAAAGGCGATATAAATCTAAAATATATTGTGGGTGGGCGCATGCGCAAAAGAAAGTGGAGGTAGAGAGGAAGCGAGAAGAAAAAATTGCGTTGTTTGATAATGAAGCTGTTGTATCTTTGAATCAATAAATTGTGTAAACTACCAGGACAAGAGTTGTTTGGTGTTATCCATCAGGCTATGCAATAACACAACAGGGATGCAGTTGGTATTTGTCTTGCGTTTGTGCCATGAAGTTGACAGGACAAAAAGTCCGTGACAAATATCGTGACAGCATTGAGGCTTATACCGCCTACACCAGGTACTGGTACACAATATGTACATGCCCAGGCTCCAGTGTCTACATGCTGGGATATGACGGGTGGTGGTATAGCTATCCCCACAGTGGATCAAACTCTAAAGGAAATTATAGTTTGGAGTGGTGGACCGACGTTGTTAGTACTCTCAACTCTACACAACGTAAACAAAAACTGGCTAAACTTGTCGCTTCATTTAACAATTTGTGTCGTATCTTACGTGTCTTATCAAGACGTATATGAATAATTTAATTAAATGTTTTTCTTTGCTAAACTGTTGCATCATTGCTATTTTCACCTTTCTTTTCAACTGATTTAGATTGATTAAATTGTATTGCTTTTGTACCCATATGAGCTAGTCTCACACTACAATATGTAACATGTAGGCCTAATGCAAATGCGTCCGAAAAATAATTTTGTTTTTATAAGAATCATAATTTGTTTATAAATTATAACTGACGAATGTTTCTACATTTCTTTACAAAACTATTGTATAAATAAAATACATTATTTTGATAAACAAAATCTTACCTTGTTCATTTATTGCAACATTACTCGACATGTTTAAAAGTGATCGTAAGTTTGTTAACGATTGATGTTGGTTTTGTTACTTGTGTTAATGGTTGTGTCAAGCTGCTAGAGATTGTAAAATATTTTAAAATAATTTGGCGCTTCATAAAGCCATCATTATCACCGAAAGAAAAGCTGGTATTATAAAAAGTCATTTCAAATGTTTATTTAAGGGATAAAACTAAGATGTTCGATGTTTTGTTCTTTCTAGACGGTCGCTAAAGCAGCGTGAACTTTACAATAACAAGTTGTGTACCTGACTAGAGTTGGGAAATGTAAAGATAGATCTAGTTGTGTATAGATATAGTACAGGTTGTAATATGTTAGAAACCAATGTCATCTTTGACGGTCAAACCTGTAAAGGAATGTCAAAGGACAAGTGTTACGCACCGACTGTATAACGGGGCAGACGGCTAGAAAGATGGGCGCATGAAACTGACAGTGTTTCGGGGGGACGGGGTGGAATGGCTTAAAAACTCTGCTGCCGAAAGTCTAATTTTTACCATTTGCCCTGCAACTTCACACTGGGCGATGGCTTAGATGCTTAAATTAATACACACGGCGACCTCAACATTAACAAACAGAAAGATACAGATGCCGATCACAAATAGGCGCATCTATTTTTATTTGCTTTAACCTAATTATTTTTATTGAGCGTTTTAATGCATTTTTATTTTCTAAATTAATACAACTTTCCATGCTAAGAAATTCTTGCAGGGGAACGACCTCTCCTCAAGTTGTCCTGGGTACGACACTGGGTAAGTTGAGCCATCAGTTTACCATTTGGTTGTGTGAGATGCAGAGGCGTAAAAAGGGCAGGGCGGAAGGTATGGACCGCACCGGGTGACATCATTTAGGGGGGTGACACTAAGGCAAATATATTTAAATTATAGGCCTATGTACACCGACATAAAAACACACACAAACACACACACACACACACACACACACACATATATATATATATATATATATATATATATATATATATATATATATATATATATATATATATATATATATATATATACTTTGTTTCTTTTTTTTTTTGGGGGGGGGGGGGAGGGGGGGTGACACCAAGAAGTTACGCACCGGATGACACCCGATTTTTTTAATCAACCTCTTCAAATTTAAGTTGTTCAAGAAACAATTGAACTCTACTTCACTTGCCCATAGACCGTCAGGTTTGAAAAGGAAACTTTACTTTTACTTCAAGTTGTTTAATAATGGTCAAAGGGAAGTAACAATAAAATGTAATCGATTTTTTGATTTACACATTTGCCTTTCCTGTTTCTTATAATTAGGAAATTATTGGTAAAGTTATTTTTAAAAATGTCTCTAATCATCTATAATATTTAAAAACAATTAAACTGCCACTTAATTTGTTCGTCTAATAGTTAGGGTACCTAGGCCTATAAGGAAAATAAAGCAAAATTGGCTAACATAATAACACAAAAGCACAAAATGAAGTTAGCATCAGTAATTAGTCGGTTGGACCTTCCGAAAAATATATAAATGTTGCAGATGTACAAAAGGTAGCCTACATTTCAAATAAAGCATGAAATAGTATATCTAAGAGTTCTGTTCACTTACACCACATTATGCCTCCGAATACTTACACCGCTACATGCCTCCCCCAACCACGGACGAACTAGAAAAATATATAGTTTCTATACAAAATATTATATACATCAACCAGTCTTTCCGCCCCCGCCCATTCCGGAAACTTTAAAGGCACCCTCACCACCCGAAAGTTTCATCAAATGTCAAACACCCTCCACCCCAAACACACACACATACCCACACTTCCCGGAAAAAAAATTGTGAAAGGAAACACTTGTAGTGTTGTTTAAATATGTGAACATGGTGTGATGCCTTTGTCTAGAGAGAGTTCTTGTTCAAGTTAACGGTGGAAAGTCTAGAAATCAATTCACCATCTTCCTTACGTTTTGACTAAATTTAGAACCTGTGTTTATCGACACAATGAAAAGTTACGATGTAATGTCTGGGTATAAGCATAGAAGTGAGATCTCGGTACTTTGAATAGAATGTTGCTCTCTAAACTGAGAAGAGTATTTCCTTTTGGTCTATATTCAGTTTATACAATTTCTCTACCTTGTTTGAGTATTTTAATCTCTCAGTCAATGCGACCCTCCCTGTGTCTTTCTGGAACCCAATGCATTTACTATATAAATATGTGTGTCCTTGTGTCCTTCTGGGATCCCCTGCGTGTAATTCTGGAAGGTAGTGCAGAGCGATGCAAAACTTAGGCACAATTCAAATCAATAGAAGCTAACATTGATAACATAATTGTTGGATTTAGACAATAGCAAACGAAAACTTGTCAGACTATCATACCAGCCATTCTATAAAATGCATATTTATAAGGAGATTAATAAGAGTGCAATGCTACATTCTTTTCCTTTGTAATATTTACAAATCGTTATCATTACCGTAAATGACTTGCACACTACTGGACAATGTGTAAAATGTCCACATTGACATTCATATTAAAATAAAAAATGTCTATAGTTTTTGAAACCTAACTGTTTCTCCCTTCATGTAATAACTCTTCTAGCATTCAGAAGCCATAAATATTCTGTACTTAATTCGGGTAAAAGATAAAATATTTATACGCCTCATCTACCAAAGAATGATGTTCGAACTATTATGGTATATTACTATATATTATTGTATATTATTAAGTATTTTTATATTATTGTTATAACCTTATTGTATGTCTGTAAGAACATCTGTGCTCAAAATGCAACAAATATGAAATTTTGCTATATCCTATGTTAATACATCTTTTCACTCTTTGTAGGAGCAGATTAAATTTTTGAACAAAAGAGACATGACTACTTAGCCACTTGCATGTAAACAATGTGTGAACAGCTCTGAGCTAGAGAGTAGCTTTATAATAATAAAATACGCGGGTCCTGGACAGAGGTGAAGTTGTGACGTAACTTTGGTGAGGTCACTTTTCAACCGTTAGTAAAATGTGTTTATCAAGCTAACGTCATAAAACTTGTGTCATTTACTCGATCTCTATATTCAAGATAGTAAATTTCTATTACATTAAATTTGTTACTTATTAGTACTGCTGTTTAGATTTGTTAGTTCTTTTGTCCACAAAAATAGCCTCACTTAAACACAAAGTAGTGAAGTAATACAAGAACAAAACATCTGTGTCTATCATCATGTTTTAATACAGGCAATGGCTTCAATAGTTTGGGTCCCACCTGGTGTGGTGACCTTTCATGTCACCCATCAATTAACGTACTAGAAATAGAGCCAATCTGGTGTCACACCCCGTCCTTGATGGTGTCACCCTGAGCTTAACGATGCATAGAACTTTAATACGTTGAAATAAAACAAATTAGAATTGCTCACTAAAATTTGCTACTTTTTATTTTAGCAGCACCCATTTGAATGGTGTCAACACCCCCTCACCCCATTTCCCCCTTACCTTGTGATGCTACTGATTGAAAGAATGTATTTAACGTTTGCAACATCAACTCTATTGTACCTAATGTTCACATGTAAATGTTGAACAAGCCAAAAATTAAAACATTTAGAATTATCCATGGTATATCTCTCATCTACTGCGATATTTAAACGGCCTTACAAACGTGCATTCTGCGACACACTTCTGAGTGATTGTATATAAACACACCTGGTTAGATTAAAGGCATTAGATTGTGTATACATTTATCGACCTGCAGCTAACTTATAAAAACAATAGATCTTCACCGACATGAGTATCTGCATGCCGTTATCTATGTTGACCTCTCACTGGGTGAGTACTCATTTGCATTACTGGGTAAGTTTTGATGAGATAATTATAAAAATAATAATAGCTTTTATAATCACTTTAAAAGTTTCGCGTTTATGTATGTCTGTCTGGAACATCAAGAAATCATAATAATAGTTACGATATTCTGTCTGTCGATAACGCTCTAGAGAAAACACTAGGACATTTAAAAGATGTAAAGTGAAAGACCTGGGACATGTAGGAAGTTTTCAAAGCGAAAGGAAATATGTAGGCATACAGTTCTAAACGAAATGCAATTTATATAGAAGATATGTATTTTTACCAGTGACAGCCTCCTCCTTTTCCCATACAATTTAATCCGCTTCCCCTCTCACTAAAAATTCAAGTGACCCCCCTCACCACTATTTACATGATTAAGGTTTAGAGGCCAAAAGTAGAAAACGGCTCTAGATTATTAAATAGGGTACACCTTCAGTCTGTATGATCTACAAATGCGACCAGTGTTTCTTCCATACTTTATTCTCACGGGAGGAGGAAGGGGCGCGTGAAATTTTCAGGGAGGGGGGGGGTGACTAAATTTTTCGGGGAGAAGGTCGGACACAGGTAAAATTATATTTTCTAAAAAAAATCTATTTTGTTATTGTGACACTCTTCGGGCGGCTCCGCCCCCCCCCCCCCCCCTTTCTACCTCACTCCTCTCAGAAGAGTTACCTAAAAGAAACTCTAAATGTGGCTTTTGTCAAGTTTGAGCTTAGGTGCGACGTTAAGGGGTATGACTACCACTATATTTAGTATGAATAAGAAGTAACCGAGTAAATAAAAGATCCGGTTAAAATGTTCATTATGTTTGAAAATCCGTTTCCAATGCAATTTTTCGTTTCCGGTTAAATTTGAAGTTAGGTGGTGATTTTAGTTTTGGTTTCATTTAAAGAAAAAGACAATACTATCAACATAGCGCCCGTTGTATTTCTCCCTCAGCAGGCTATTTATCTAGTATATGTATAAATATACTATTTAAAATTAAATTTTCATTTTAAATATAAATAAAGATAAGCTACTTTAGCACGCATTAGATACCAGCGTCAAGTATGTTCTCGTATGTCTATTTTACAGGCTACAGCCATGCTAAAGCTGTTTTTATTGTTTGTGGTTGCCGTGTCATCAGAAGCGTCCAAACAATGCATTAATATCGTGCCTGGACTATCTAAAATTGCCGAGGGTGTGGACATAGCGCAGCTAGACCTGTTACCTCTAGAGTTTACCACCAACAACGGGATCCTGAGTCCGATATTTCCGTTGACCTGTGACCAAGGGAAAAAGTGGAAGAGTCCGAGTGGAATTTTGTACGATATGCCTGATCAGGTATGAAGTAGGATTATATCAGTGGCGTAGCGAGGTCGGGTGTCACCCGGTGCGGCACTTAATGGTGTAACCCCCCCCCCCCCAGATGCGTAGCGACCCTTCCCGGGGACAAACTTTCAAGTTCTCGATTTGCACCCCCCCCACTCAAACTCTCGATTTGCAACCCCCCCCCATCAACCTTTCGATTTGCACCCCCCCCCCCATCAAACTTTCGATTTGCACCCCCCCCCCTACCTCAAACTTTCGATTTGCACACCCCCCATCAAGTTTTTCTCTATATATTTTGCTATTTTTTGCCTTGGTGTCACCCCACCCCCCTTCCCCCCCCCCCCCGTCGCTACGCCCCTGGATTATATCCAAACATGTCTTGTCGATATTTTAAAATTTAGTTGACGCTTTGCAAGGGGCGGCGTGGTCGAATGGTAGAGCGTTTACCTTGCTAATATATAGGACTCGAGTATTTTTCTCGCCCCTCTCTACACACACACATTACCAAAAGTGCTTTACGTTATGGGATTTGTTCTAAAGTCGGTAAAACTAAAGTTTTCCAACTCTTACTGATTTCGTTGACGGTTTTAGCGTAGGTTAGTTTATTGCAAATAAAAAAAAATTCATTTTCAACACTAGTGTTATGTTTTTATCTCTATCAGGGAAAAAATATACGAGTATTCTTTTTATTTTTTATTTGCTAACCTACTTTTAGATATTTTTTTAGATCGCATGTTAGACGCCTACTCTTCCGCATTCCAAAAGAGGAAAGGCAAAACTACACATCTACCATTTTGTTTATCGGTCCTCTAATTTCAGCCTAGTTTAGACTTGGTCTTCGAATCGTACGTTAAATAAGAGGGTTTTTTTTCTGTATATCTTTTCGAAAACACAATATTTCCTCACTAAATTGCTAATTATTGAGTAAAAAAAAATATGCTAAAATCTTTTAGAACGCCATCCTGAAATAAAAACAATGGGAAATGTAAATTCATCTACAGATGTATCGACAAACAAATGATTTTGAAAGACAATTTTGTTAACCCGACATTTACTGTACGATAGTGTTGCGAGCGAGTTAGAGAATTAGTCGACCATCAATCATAACGTAGATTCCAACGATCTGAGACACATTACTTTAAAGGATCGTTGTTTCATTTAATTCTTTATTGCATATGACATCTACTTGATAGATACGGACGACGACTTTCACAACATTTACAAAGGCTTGACTAAATTCTCGACAACTGGACTCTACACCCTAGCACAACTAATCGCAAACTGCCCTAACCCTCTTCCTCCAGCAACAAGATCCTACTCTCACACTTCACATCCTTACGTACCTCATCATACAGTCACACTCTTTTAATAATATAAAATCATTCTACCATACACATACTCTCAAACTCTTGCAATACACCGAGATACCATCCATAAAAGATACTATTTTTATAAATGCCACATTAAACTTACTACGATTAAATTACAATACAATTTTGATTGAGCAGATTTGGACAATCACAACAGTGCCAGGTGGACATACGACCTCTGAGGTCGACACCTTCAAGTCCTACAATGACGTCAGAGAATCCATGAGTGCCAACGCTGGTCTAGAAGCAAGTTACGGATTTTTCGCTTTCTCGGGAAGTTTTTCCTACAGAAAACTACAGAGTTTAATCACCAGCAGTTCAATGTACATGTCTGAAGTTACAGCTTTTGCTGGGGCGATCCGTGCCGATGTCAACGCAGCGGAGAATTTAGAATTGGATACATTTACACAAAATTACATTGACCGTTTTCTGACAGACACCTACGAAAGTAATCCCGATGCTTATAATAAATTTATTGAGACTTACGGTACGCATTACTTCGCTACAGGAAAATTTGGAGGCTATGTCAGGATGATGTTCGAGGCTTCACAAGACTACTACTCATCTCAAACTGAGATCCAAATTGAAGCCAATGCTAGAGCGTCTTACATGCTAGCGGTTTCTGTTAGTGTCGGAACCTCCACAACAAATCAAAAAGTTGACGAAACGTTTAAATCCAACACTAAAAAAACAATCAAGTACTACGGAGGCAACACCAACCTGCTCAATGACCAACCAGATTTCTCAAAATGGCTCCCAACTGTAGAAAATGATCCGTGGCTATTCTCTGGCAATTTGAAACCAATCAGCAACTTGTTTAGAAACGCAACAAAGAAGGCGTCTATGGTGGCAGCAGTAGAGAACCATTTAATAAGAAGTTATTTAGGAGAATTGCAATATCTTATAAATGTAGCCAAATCTAAGTCTGATAATTTTATAATCAGAAGATTCTTGACTACATTGAATGATTTGAAAGCTACAAAAGTTATTCCCAAACCTGCTGTTGAAGGTTTATCTAGAGATCTACAAGAATTAATGTCCGTCCCCAAATGGTTTCTAGCCTCCACCAAGTTATGTTTGCATTGGTTGCCTACCGGCGATCGAAATCAATGTGGAGGAACAAATGATCCTCAAGACATTTGTGCTAATATCAACTCAATGACTGAATGGTACCACGACAGTACTGACCAACGAAGCGGAGGTTGTAAGATGCAATGGGGAATCTACTCATTGGAGCCTAACCCACCAGAATGGCTGCACGAAATCAAGATATGCTATCAGTGGGACCTAGACAAAAGTATTAATGACGATAAGCAATGCGGTATTGGCAAAGGATACAATTACTGCGGAAATATCAACTCGTTGTCTAATGAATATCTCGACGATACGAGCCAAAATAGGGGTGGTTGCAAAATTCGGTGGATGCTTGAAATCCCTGGCTACGTCCCATACTGGATGAAAGTGTTACAGGTTTGTTTCAAGTGGGAAGCTGAAGGTGAGGCGGCACAATGCGGAGGCGGCGCCCCACCATACCAGTGTGTTCCGGCCACCAATTGGACTGAGTATTACGTCGATTACACAGACGACAGAGCAGGCGGCTGCAAGCTGAGCTGGGGTTTAAAGACCTCCTATTAGTTTCTAACAAAACTTTGTGAACTTAAAAGGAGGGTTGAAGAACTACTTCAAGCACATTTGTGAAAACCACAAAGATAGGTAAATTGCTCACCATATCATAAATTATAGAAAAATAAATTGAAACTCATCAAATTATGAAAATACATTGTTGTTTGCTTTCTTTCCAAGTCTAACTTTCGTAGAAATTCAAGTAGTTTATGTTTAGCAGCCTCCCACCCATCCTACCTAAACTCGTCCAGTCAATGACTCTTGGATTGCCCATTT